GTGTCTTTCGAGCTAGTGTCTTTCGAGCTCATGTCTTTCGAGCTAGTGTCTTTCGAGCTTGTGTCTTTCGAGCTCATGACTTTCGAGCTAGTGTCTTTCGAGATAATGTCGACGTCCCCGTGTTTTATATGCGGTTTACTATCGACTAAATCAGCAAAACTTCAGCGCATTTTACATACCATTAATGCCAGCGATTTGTCGGACGACGAGTACAACGAGTGGCTTATGTTTGGGACAATCGTACGAAACACTCGTACGTTTGGATTCACGATCAAAGGTTACGCTGTATTTGATAAATTGACATTTATTGAGGTAAGAATTTATTAATTTTGTTGTTATTTTTATGTAAAACACATTATTCTGTGCAGATATTCTCGTTTATTCTCTACTATACGGTTATATTGTTGCAAACAATGTCGAGTTGATTCGTAACAATCAATGTCTACTTCATTATCACATAACAGATCCACAGATGTTGTGGTCGAAGAGGTTTGCACTCATGGAAGACATGAAACACCGCTTCTCTCGAAGACAAACCAGAAGTGACACCACTTTTGACCACAGATTACTTGAGTTCACCCGAAGACTGCGACTATTATTGTTATTATTAATTGTTTTAATTATACACTTATTTATATATTATAATATTAATTCAAGCGAAAACAACATTAATCAGAATAATCAATAACATTAGTATTTAATAATATCAACTCTATTTTTGTAATTTTTTAAAATTAATTTATTCAATTAAAATTTAATTATAATGTTGCATAGTATAAGAACAATGATAATAAATAATTTAAAACTAATTTGTTAAATGTGTTTATTCTTAACGTGTTGCTTCAATTCACTCGATGAAACAAACCGTTGATTACAGTTATTATGAATACATTTATGGTTTTTTATATTCAAATGTCTTTTCATATGTTCTGTTAAATGAGATTTTACGCGAAAAGTTTTATTACAATCATTGAAATGACAAATAAATGGTTTTTCTCCCGAATGTATGCGTTTGTGTCGTAAGAGATCTGATTTTGTATTGAATTTTTTGCCACAATTTTCTTCATTACATTTGAATTTCCTTTCATTCAAATGATCACAACTTTTGTGTTGAAATAAATTTCGTTTTGATGTAAAACTTTTGAGGCATTCATTGAAATCACAAATAAATCTCATGTTTAAATGAGTGATATTTTTGTGTGCATATAAATTACTTTGTGTCTTGAACATTTTATTACAATTATTAAATTCACATTTAAATTATCTTATTTCTGAATGAATTGATTGATGTAATGTTAAGCGTTGTTTTGTTGTTGTTTTGAATTGACATTTAGGCCAAAAACAGTGTAAATAATCATCAGATTTAGTAATGATATGACAATTGTTTAGCATTTTATCACTGATTTTACATGAATTGCAATCAATTGTTTGATTGATTGAAAAATAATCATTATTTTCGCATTCAATCGCTTCACACAAAACACTATTATTTGTATTCAAAATACACTGAATTTTGTCTATTATTTCACACAA